CAAACAAACAGCGGGTCGATGATAAAAGTTCCATATACTGTATCGGAGAGAATAAATAATACAGCCCTTAGATGTGTAATATTAGCATAAATCAGAAGCGGCAAATAGTTTGAAAGCAAGGTGGGGAGTCGGGAAGGAAGCACCGATGCAGCTGAACCATAAGGCAGATCCTTCCTTGGTATGCTGGCCGCCTTTGCAGTGTTAGATGTAGGGGACCCAGAATGCCTTAAGGGTCCCCTACATCTTATGTGGCAGTAGAAGAATGGGCTAGATTAGAAGAAAGAAATGGACCAGAATTGTGGTTGGTTTCTGAGACATTAGAATTACTGCTGTGTTGGAGTAGGTTGATTGTAACTGGGGAGATCTCTGTCCCAAACCCTGAGTAGATACAGACTCTGTAAAAAGGATTCGACGTGGGGGGGAGGGGAGTGTGGTGTTTGCTGATCTTGAACAAATGTCAGAGATGCAGCGGTACATTTTTAATATGTCACACAGGAGCTGGACTGATAAAGACAGCTGTTTGCTTACAGGACTTGTGTTAACAAATCCGGTATTGTCCTCCACTGAAAAAAAGAGAGGGGAGCCAAAGAAAGAATGACGGGAAGGAGTGGGCAGTGCTCATCTTTCCAAAAATAATACCCCTGCCATGATGGGATCAAATACTTGGAGAGCATTGCTGAAGTGAGGCCAGTGATCTATTCTAAACCATTCTCCTGGAGCATTTCACTCAGTGCTATAAGTAAACCCCAGGAAAAGAGTCAGTATTTTCACTCTGGATTTAAAGTAGGCATTAAGCAGACTCAGAACTATTAAAATGCACATGCCAGTATTAAAGTCCAGCCTGTAATGGTACCATCACCACTAATAAAATAAACAACAAAGCACTGGAGCGTTGCCCAGCCTTTTTAATGTATCTACTTTCATACACAAATCAACTTCTCTATAAGCAAAGCAACTAACGTAAGCGGCACACGATTATAATAAGGAACTGCTAGGAAGACCTCGTTAAAAATATACACGAGAAAGCATAAGCATCCAGGCAACTTCTGTACCAAATTAGGGATGAGGATGATGTACAAAGTCAGTGCAATCCCCATGCTTCAGCAGTGTTTTGGCAAGTAAAGTACACACGAGCTCTTTTAAATGGGTTCAAGAGACAAATTAAATATACGCTCTGTAGTGCAAACCAGAAGCACAAAATGAATGAGAGAAGATTCCCAGCAGGAACAATCCAATAGGACCCAACATTTCTGGTTTTTGTTTTTTGTAACAGAGACAAGGGTGTTTTGGCGAGATCATTTTACCCTCTGGTAAAACACAGTTTAGAAAAATCAGGTCTTGATAGCAGCTGTGAAATTATAACAAAATACAAATGTTCTAGGACCTGACTGAATGTAATTTCATTAATGATCTGGAGGATGGCGTGGACTACACCCTCAGCAAGTTTGCAGATGACACTAAACTGGGAGGAGTGGTAGATACGCTGGAGGGCAGGGATAGGATACAGAGGGACCTAGACAAATTAGAGAATTGGGCCAAAGAAATCTGATGGGGTTCATCAAGGACAAGTGCAGAGTCCTGCACTTAGGGCAGAAGTATCCCATGCACTGCTACAGACTAGGGACCGAGTGGCTAGGCAGCAGTTTTGCAGAAAAGGACCTGGGGGTTACAGTGGACAAGAAGCTGGATATGAGACAACAGCGTGCCCTTGTTGCCAAGAAGGCTAACGGCATTTTGGGCTGTATAAGTAGGGGCATTGCCAGCAGATCGAGGGACGTGATCATTCCCCTCTATTTGGCATTGGTGACGCCTCATCTGGAGTATTGTGTCCAGTTTTGGGCCCCACCCTACAAGAAGGATGTGGATAAATTGGAAAGAGTCCAGCGGAGGGCAACAAAAATGATTAGGGGGCTGGAGCACATGAGTTATGAGGAGAGGCTGAGGGAACTGGGATTGTTTAGTCTGTGGAAGAGAAGAATGAGGGGGGATTTGATAGCTGCTTTCAACTACCTGAAAGGGGGATCCAAAGAGGATGGATTTAGACTGTTCTCAGTGGTACCAGATGACAGAACAAGGAGCAATGGTCTCAAGTTGCAGTGGGGGAGGTCTAGGTTGGATATTAGGAAACACTATTTCACTAGGAGGGTGGTGAAGCACTGGAATGGGTTCCCTAGGGAGGTGGTGGAATCTCCATCCTTAGAGGTTTTTAAGACCCGGCTTGACAAAGCCCTGGCTGGGATGATTTAGTTGGGGACTGGTCCTGCTTTGAGCAGGGGGTTGGACTAGATGACCTCCTGAGGTCCTTCCAACCCTGATAGTCTATGATTCTATGATAATTGAAGGCACCAAAGTAGATCTGGGGATTACCATGAGAACACATTAAAAAAATGGAAGAGCGCACGTTCAGTGACAAACTCAGGGGAATTTGCACCTCCGTTCAATGCTTTCACGTCCAACGCATTAAGATTGAAAGCTCTATGGTCACGGACCATCTTTATAACACCGTATATAATGCAGTTGGGCCTCAGTCTCTGACTTTGGCCTTCTAAGCACTATTGTAAAATAAATCATAGTAATGCTGTCAGTATTTTCCTGATGGTTTGGTACTTAGGGTGCTGGATCAGTACTTAGAAGATCTGGTTTTGAACTCCCAGTTCTGCCACAGATTTCCTGTGTGAATTTGTGCAAGTCACATAACGTTTGCCTTCCAGCCCCTGCTCAAACCATGTCACCTGCACAAGGAGCACTTGCACTTCATAAATGAAAGGATGATGATGATGATCGCCTAGCAAAGACTGTGCAGTGAGGGGACGAAATCGGTTGATAATTGCGAGCTGTGGATGGGAAGGAGAGTGGGGAAGGAATACTTAGTCTAGAAAAAAGAGAAGGGCAGTGTAAATCACTGAGCAGCAGAAGGGTCTAAGTGCCTAATGGCATTGGTGGATACCAATCAACTTAGGATGGGATTTTCAGAAGAGCTCGGCATTGGCCTAACTCGGCCGCCAGTGACATCAATAGGAGCAGAGTCCGGCCTATGATGGGTACTTTGTGAAATCCTACCTGTGAACCACATTTAAATACTATAGGATATAAATTACTTTAGGCTCACTGTAAAGCCATATTGGTCTGGAAATTGGGTGTAGCCTGCGATATAAGCTGGTCAAAGCTAGGAAAGCTACATTTTGGTTGAAACTCAGATTTTTTGTGTCACAGTTTCCCCTGCAGAGCCCAGTGCAGTAGCATTTATAGCAGACTCACCGACACTGAGCAGTGAAAATAAAGCCAGAGTTAGTATCTTTCCACTGAGCGTTTGCAGCTTTGCCAAGTTGCTTTACCCTCCCCGTTGAGCCCTGTCTGTTCTAGTGATGAGCGCACATCCCGTTACTTCCTGAGCAGTCCTTACTTCCAGCAACAAGAGATGAATGTGGATTGGGAGGAGAAGCAGGCCACTGCTTCCCTGAAGGGTTCTACTAACATCCTACAGTCACAGTCCTAATTAGACAATGCTACAGTGCACCAGTGCTGTTTCCCTAGGGCAGTGGTTCCCAAACTTTAACAACCTGTGAACCCCTTTCACTAAAATGTCAAGTCTCGTGAACTCCCTCCTAAAAATGAATATTTCCAGGGATTTTCTCCTTTACCTGAGTATAAATTATAAGAGCAGTGATCTTGGAAATATAAAATGTGTTTTTATGACATGCTTATCACACACTATTATTAATTATTATTTATCATTACAGTATTTTTATTACATTATGAAAACGGCAACACTCATCCAAGATCTCACTTTCGTAGCTTGGATCACTTTAATAAGTCTGTTCTAAGACAAGGCTCCTATGTTTCATCAAGGAGCATCAGATGTGAAACAGCATGAAGGTATTTAAGAAGCCAACTCAAAGAGATCCTCCTACACAAGCATTCAGGTCTTGAGCAGTCCAGGCAAACAATGCACGTTACAACAAAGCTTAAATTTGTTCTTCATAATAATTTTAAAAACAATATTAGCTGCCAGTTTAATTTTAAACCCAGCAAAAAATATCCACCTCCCTTTCCATTTCTTATAAGGAGTCTTGAAGTTTAAATCTCCTCAGTGTGATAGACATGCTTGCTTTGATCTGCCTAGCTCTTGGAAGTCCAGGGGCTCCGGGCTGCTGGCCCCGGGCTGCCCGGGGTCCCTATGGACAACTCTGTCTGCCATTAGGGAATTTTTTCCTGAGAACCCCCTGTAACATTTTGCAAACCCCCAGGGGTTCCCGAACCCCAGTTTGGGAACCACTGCCCTAGGGGGAGTATTTCTCATGGTGATTGGTAGATGTCAGGGCCCAATCCTTGGGTCCAGCTTGGCTTTGCTTGGTTTAGGACCCAGGGTGGAGGTGGGCAGCAGTGGCTCTATGCCATATTTATCCCTTTTTGCCCTATTCTGAGGCTGGACTAGGGGTGGATTTGGCCCCAAGCACAATTCAGAGCAATTTCAGGGCTACTGTAACTTGTGTCAGCTGGTAATGGTCCCCAGAGGGGCAGTTATGCTGGCTTGGGACTGTCAGAATGCTGCTGCTCTCTGACCATGTCCCCTCCCCAGTAGACCCTCCTGTGCTGGGATCTGTGAGGAGAAGTGGTGCGGAGGCAGCTACACTGTCTCTATGCTGCCTGGGGATTCCTTCACGCCAGAAGAACCCTTAGATGTCTGGAGAAGCGAGCTTTGCAGCCCCTTGGGTGGCATAAAGGCACTGTCTGGGAGAAGTCAGGATCTTTCCTTATGTGTGCTCCTTCCTCAATCCTCTGACAATCCTCTGAGATTGTAGTCTGGGCAGGGAGAGGGACACAGGTCACCTTGGGGTTATGGTTAATCCATAGCTGGGAATGGCAATCCATCAGCCAGGGCAGGGACAAATTTCAAATTGCTAGCAACACTCTCACCTCCCATAGAGTGCTACTATTCTACAGTCTGAAGGCAGGTCTGAGACCCCTAACTTCCCCTCGTTGTCCTCTTTGCTTTTCAGAGCCTTGAGTATGACCAGGAAGATCTTCACCAACACCAGGGAGCGGTGGAGACAGCAAAACGTCAACAGTGCCTTTGCCAAGCTGAGGAAGCTCATCCCCACACACCCTCCGGACAAAAAACTGAGTAAGAACGAGACGCTCCGCTTGGCCATGAGGTACATCAACTTCCTCGTCACGGTCCTGGGGGAGCAGGGCCTGCCGCAGACAGGAGTGGCCACCCGGGGGAGTATACTGGGGCTGTTCCAACAAGCCCCCCATTTGCAGAGTATGGAGGAACTGACTCTGATTGAAGACTGTGGAGTCCCTTCTCCGGGCACAAGCAGCAATATCCCGGAGTGCTGGTCAGAGTCATCGTCTCCCTAGCAGGCAATGAGTGATGCAGTCCTGGTATTAGTTTGATAGTCTCCTTTGCATAACGTGGATTGTTTGCCTCTGTACAGTATTTATCTATTTATATCTATTACTGTTGTATTAAATATATTTTTATTTAAAAGGAAAGGAGGTGGAAGGAATCATTGGAAGGCGGACAATGGCATGGATGAATAGGGAATGGTGTTCGACCCTTGGGAATTTGCAAGGATTCAATGTAGTGATTTCACAGATTCATGGAAAAATCAAAGCCGAGAGGGGACCATTATGATCTGAGCCTCTGTATAACAGAGGCCATAGAATTTCATCCAGTTATTGCTGCAATGGAAGAGATTATTCTTCCTTGCTACATAAGGAGACGCTATCAAGTCCAGTTGCTTGTGGGTCAGCTGGCGTGTTTCACTTAAAAAATATCCAGCCTTGACTGAAAGGTCCAAGTGATGGAGCATTTACCACATCCCTTGGTCGGCTCTTCCAAGTTAAGAGTTTACATCTTATTTCTGAATTGAATTTTTCTAACATGTAGCTTCCAACTGCTGGATCTTGTTTTGCCTTTGTCTGTTAGACCGAAGGGCTCTCTAACATCAGAATGAAGCACAAATGAGTATATAAATAACAGCCACCAAGAAATTAAAACAGAAATGCCAGCCTATGTTGAAAGAAGAAATGTTATGGGCGAAGTTTCAGCAGATGCAATGGATAGAGTCCATCAGCAAATCTATACCCAGCTGTGGGAGCACCGGGGGGAAACTGGCCATCCTCATTCTGGCTCCATACAAAACCCACAGAGAGGCTGCTCCTCCAGCCTTCCATGGCAGGACTTAACGGGCCAGGAGGTAGCCTTATGTACTTGACAAAGCCCTAGCCCAGCAAATGCCCCTGTATGCAAACGTCTAGGCAAATTCCACACCACCTGCAGACCATGCCAAACAAGAGTAGGAAGGGGGGACTCCGTGAAGCTGTTGCTGACCAGAATACAGGCCCGCATGAGCCCAGCTTTTCCAGCAAACATGTGTGCCCATTTGGCACCCTTCCTGAATTAGGTTTCCTATGATCGTCACTCCAGCATATGAGACCAGTGCATATCTCTATCAGAATGGGCGAGGTCGTGTTTGTACATGTACCCTGTGTGTATGTACCATGGGCTTCCCTTGAAACGTGCTGATTTTGCCTTTGATAATTAGATGAGTTCTCCTCACTGTGAGTTTGAGCCAAAGCCCAATGAACTCAAGGGAAAAAATGCAGTAGGAAATACTTGCATTGAACTCAGCAGGCTTCGGATCATGCCCCATTAGCAGTAGCCCCAGTACAAATTAAGGTAGGGCGTGGTTCTCAAACTATGGGGTGGGCCTCCCAAGGGAGGCATGGGAATGTGTCAAGGAATGTGCACACTCAGTGTATGGGGGGGGGTTGGTTTTTTTAAGCACTCTGGACTGTGGCTGTCAGTCCCGCATGGCTAGGGCTCGTGCAGAAGGGCTGTGCACACCCGGGAAGCAGGGATAAAGGGGATAGCCAGAGCCCCAGGGTCAGGTTCTTCTTTCCACCTCCCTCAATCCCTCACTGGAAGGCAGCCGGGGCTCAGGCTATCCTTTCCCCCAATCCCAATCCCTCACCTGGCTGTGGTGGGGCTCTGACTGTCAGTCCCAGTGTGGCTGCAGCAACGCAGAAGTAAGGGTGGCAATGGGGCACTAAGTCTGCTGTGAAAAGTGATATTGATGAATATCACTTTTCACATTGCCACCCTCATTTCTGTGCTGCAACTGGCTTGCGCTGCCTTCAGAGCTGGGCACCTGGCCAGCAGCCGCTGCTCTCTGCTCTGCCTTCAGAGCTGGGTGTCCAGCCAGCAGCCGCTGCTCTCTGCTCTGCCTTCAGAGCTGGGTGTCCAGCCAGCAGCCGCTGCTCTCTGCTCTGCCTTCAGAGCTGGGTGGCAGTATATGTGCTGGGGGAGAGGGGGACATAAAGAAGGGGGGGCCCGATCAAATAAGTTTGAGAACCACTGCTGTAGGGAATACCTAAATTATATAGCAGATACTGAGATGAAAACATTTAAGTATCTCAGGCAATTGTCAGGCGTTTAAGGATGACCATGTGGAGTGGGAGAGCAATTGCACTGTAGAATGTTGCTCACCAATCAGGTCATTTGAGTATCGGAGTTGCCCTCCTGTGTCAGCAAATATCTGAACAGCTCATAGGTGTTAAAAATCAACTTGAACAGCAGGTAGAACATCTAGGGATTCAAATGTGAAGGGTTTCTGGGTCAAATCCTGCTCCCGCTGCAGTCAATGACAAAACACCCATTGAGTTCACAGAGACATGCATACCTGAGTTTGAAGAACATTCATTATGGTTCAACAAGTGAAAGTGACCCGTGCTCTGCCAGATCTCCTTGGCTGCTTCTGCCTCCTAGTGAGAAGATGAGCCACCTTCAGAACCTGCAGTTAGGGCTTTGAGTGCATTACACTGCTTGTAACATTTACGCTTGTAGCATAGGGAATCTGTCACCCTATGGTGAGTTTCCTGTCAGAATCACACAAACATCTCCACATTCCCTATATATTCATTTGTCTCAGGGGAGCTGACAAGGAAACAGATTTGGCCCAGTTGGGCATGATTTTTTGCTGATCTGAACACTTACGAAGACTAAAGTTTGTCAAAAACATTTTTACTATGGCTCTGTGATTGCTGCTGAAGCACAGTGGAGCTAGCAGAAACATTTCAAATACTGACAAAAAAAAGACTGAAAATGTTAGTGAACAATTAATTTTGTTTTTCAAAGAGCTCTGGTTTCCTGCCTAGTTACTCCTAGATTTCAGCATTTTGAGGACATGAAATGAGTGAAGACATTGAAGAGCATCTGAATGGAAACACGCCAAGAGTCATTTTCATGATCTGTGAAGTTCATGCTTTATCCTTTCCTATGCCCACTTTAATGTGGCTACATGGATTGATATTGTCTATTCCAGGCATAGGCTCAAATTTAACTGGCTAGCTTCTCATCCTGGGTATCTGTTGGCTTCAATGGAGTTACACCAAGGATAAATTTGGCCAAATAGGTGTAAATATTTACATGTGAGGATTGTTGGTGCTATTCTTTCCATCAGCCCATTGCTATCATTGGAAATGTTTTCTCATCAGCAAGAAAGTCAAAACAGATCCATCTTTGAGCTGAGTATTGTTGTCAAGGATCGGGAAGAAAGCCTAGCAGTTAAGTAATGTGAAATGCTTGTTATTTATATATTGAAAGCTTTTCTTATTCTTGGTTCAAGTGTTTTTTGTTTTCTTTTCATTTAGGATCTCCTACTCGGAGGTACAGCATGTGTATGACTAGATTTATCTACCAAAGATTTGTTTGTCAGGACTTCTCTTCGTTTTTTGTGATTTCTTATCTGTATGGCTGTGAACAAATATGGTGTAACTGATCACATTTTGTTGTATACAATGTTATTTAACTGCTAATATATTCAAAATAAATTATTTAAGAAACTAACCTTTTTAGCTTTCTAAAATTTACTCTTAAATTCAAAAAACATCTGGCAGGGGATATCAAATAGTAAAGCAGAATGAATTATAATACCAGGATCATTTTCATGTTCAGCAGCTGCATGCTGCTTCGGATTCTTCAGAAAAGTTTACCAGCAATGCTTAGAAGTTAGAGACGGTCCAAAAAAACAAGGATAAAACCAAACCACCCCCCTATATTTTTTTTGGAAAATGTTCTTACTTTTTTTTTAGTCAATGTTTCATCAAAGTGTCAATGTTTGAAAGATTATGGCCAGCTCTTTGGCTGATCAAAAAGTTATAGATCAGTAAAAATGTGTTGCAAAAACGTTAATTTTTTCCCCAAAATTTAACAATTCAAAAGATTTCAAACAGCTCCATTTTAAAAAGTAGAGATGGTCTGAAACCACAAAACTGGGACCCAGTTGTGGATTTTGAACACCCCAACAGATTGGGATGTTCAGAGAGGGGACACTTGCCATGTTCTTATTGGGATCCAGGTTTGAATTTCAAATATCCCCAAAGCTCAGTGATTCTTAGAATCCGGAGTTTGTTTCTGGTCCATATCTGTCCCCAAAGGGTTGGTTTTATAATCTAGTCCCAGTGGTTGTTGGATGGGGTCTAGAAAGGCCAGTGGTGGCAACACTGTGGTGAAAAGGTGGGAGGAGGGTCTCCTGTCACTGGGAGATGGGGCTAGCATGGGACTCATGCCTGCAGTGGGACTCATTCCAACTACAGGAATGGAGGCTCCGAGAACTTGGGTCTGTTAACTTCAGTGGGAGATTTGCTTGAAAAAAAGGGCTCTGGAGGAAGAAAATCTGGGGCCTGAATCTGTTACACTCATGCCCCTTAAAATTACCAGTGGGGGTGAAGCAGCCTCAGCGTCAGGAGAATACGACCTGTAGTTTTAAGGCCCCTGCAGAGCTTCCCACTGGAAACCAACAATTTCTGTACAGCGGGGCTGCGTGACACAGTGTGTGTGATCTGCGCAAGGCACGGCACAGAGGAGATTAACCACTTTTGGTGGGGAGGGAAGGAAACATGCCCTGCCATGTGGAAAGCATCTGTGGTTAAGACCAATTAAGGAGGCATCTCTTGGCAGCTACCAAAATAACTGGATGGAAAGTAGAGAAGGAAGGGGCATGTCAATGCTCTCCTTGTTGCAAAAAGATAGGATTGTTTGCTTCCACCCAGCACAAATGGAGACTGATGTAGCCCAGCTAGATGTCTTCACAAAACAGAAATTCTCAGTGCTGTACGTATATACCTAGGGCTTTTGGGGATCTCAGGGCCTGGTCTCCAGCCTAAGCCCAAATGTCTACATTGCAATTTTATAGCCTGAGCCCCGCAAGCCTAAGTCACCTGACCTGGGCTCTGAGACTTGTTGCCAAGGATTTTCTAATTGCACCCCAACCATTACCACAGCTACTAAATTGGGACCAGAAGATTCTTAACACATACACCACGAAGGGAAATGCAAACATACAAAAACGAATACCAACAGAGTGCAGCACACTGGTAGATAAGGTGGTGTGATCGAGCACACCCTTCCTGCATGCCCCCCTGGTGGCCTTTTCTGGCCCTGCAGTTGTGTTGCACTCAACACCCTTCAGTCACTCCCTCTCTAGGCCTCAATTTCCCATCTGTAAAACAAGTAGGGTAATACTTCCTTTGTCAGGTCTATTTATGCAGTAAGCTCTTCAGAGGAAGAATGTCTCTTACTACATCTATGTAGAGCACAGTGAGGCACCCAAGAGTTGAAGGGCCTCTAGACATTATTGTTCTCTTACAAGAAAGCTATCTGGGCCATCTCCTCCCAGGGCAGAATTGTTCTCAGCAGTCTAGTTCTTTTAGTAACGGCCTCCGGATTTGGCCCTAGGATTCTATTTTTCACCTCTGTGTTTGATAAACATCCCAGTTCTTCGTGTAGCACGTTTAGAATGTGAATGACTTGTACGACCGATAATGTCCCCATTTTTATCATCATTGGATCCTTTTTACAAAATTCTAGTGCAATGGTACAAAACAGTATAGCTTGCCACAGTGAGACGGCAGGGTTTGGGGTAATTGCTGTAGAATAGTGTCCTATTTTCTTTTGCTAAAGGAGACATACTAGATTACAGCCTGAGCGAAAGCTCACTGAATGCATTAGAAAGTCACCCATTGACTTTAGAACAGGCTCTAGAGTTCATTTTGGGCACACCCTTGTATTATTGATGTTAGTGGGAGTTTTGCTATTGACTTCAGTGACAAGCCACTGGCTAACAGAGAAAGTCAGGTTACCTGTCAATATGCAAGGGGCAATAATTAGTCATAGATCTGCAAGCAGGTAAATAACAACAAATAGAAATGCTCTTTATTGGCTGAAACATGGAACGTGGGTCCTTGCTCTCGTCATGAAGCAGTCTTCATGGTAGTGGAGAATTAGTGGTGAGTTGCTTGCCATGCTTAGCACAAGGTCTGTGCTTAACAGCTCTGTTAGCTATGCTGACTCTGAACACCATGAGAGGAACGTGAACTGAGCAGTGTGTGTGTGTGTGGTGGGGGGAATCAGTGGGTTTCTTATCCAGCTGGATTTGATTAAAAAAAGGATATCAAAGGCACGATTGGAAAAGGTTATTGTGAGAAAGAGCAGTGTAGCAATGGCAACACAATTTTCAGCCTCTGATTTTAGGCTATGGTGATGGAGCCTGGTACTGAGTAGGTTCTACAACTGGACACCAAGACGTATCCTAGAATGATATTTAAAGGGACAATATTTATCTTGCTAGGAAACTCCAGAAATCACTGACCAAGAAAAGACTGATTCTAGTTTGATATGTTTCAGGGACGTACTATTTGAAAGATGTTTAATAAGTCATTCATATGAATTTAAGATTGCTCCCTATGAATTTTTTTAGACATAAGGGAATTGCCTGAGATGACCAAGTGAAAACAGGGGTGAGTAATGGACGACTGACTTTTGTTCTTTGAAGGCTAAGTGAGAAAGAATGGGGGAAAATGGACAGCTTAACTGCTGACCTGCGGGTCAGAGGTCATTTTAAAGTCACATCCTTAAATCTTAAAGCCAGAGATAAAGCAACAGACTCTAAATCCATTGGTTTTCATTGCTGTAATTGTACTTTTAAAGCAGCAGGTGCTAAGGGAAGAATCAAAGGGGGAAATGGTTCGAAGAATCAACTCTAATAAATATTAGGTTCATATAAAGTACATATTACTATGTTTCTCTCAAACACAGAAATAACTCATACTTTTGCTGATGTATCAGTATGTTATGGCTAGGTGCTGGCCTACCTCTGCTCCCATTCAAGTCAATGGTAAAACTCCAGTAGGAGCAGAGTTAGGACAATGCT